AAAGAAAACAGCTGATGAGGCCCCAAGGGAGGTGGCCCCATGGAGTCATATGGACCTGGGGTGTGGCAGCCACAAGCCAAGGAGTACCCAGGGCTTCCAAAGCTGGGAGAGGCATGGCAAGGTCCTGTCCTGGAGCCTTTGGAGGCCATGCTCATACCTTGGTTTTGGCCTCTGGCATCTAGAACTATAAGAGGATGGGTTTCTGTGGTGTTAGGGTTGCTAGATTCAGCTGGGCATGGTGGCACTCCCCTGTCTCAGCACTCCTGAGACTGAGACAGAAAGATCATGAGTTTGAGACCCGCCTGGGTTACATAGTGAGTTCAAGGCCAACCTTAACTACATAGTGAGACCCTGTCTAAAAAACCCAATAACTAAATGATTACTACACTCACCTACTTCAAGTGTGGAGCACTATTACCTTCTCAGTGTACCCACAGTCCACCCAGCCCCGCTGCTCCTGCTGAACTGCCCCATGACACCTACTGTCTTCTTTGCGCTTGTCCCGCCCAATGTGCACAGAAGGCCTGGCTCCCGCCTAGCACCAGCTCCAGGAAGGACGTCACTGCAGGATCCTCCCAACACCTTGACCAGAGCAGCGCCTGGCACAGAGAGGGCACCGGGTGCCTACATCCTGATGAAGCACTGCATTTCCCCAGTGGTGTCAGTGTGTAAACTTTAAAATTTTGCCATTTTACTGACTAGGCTAAATACACAGGAACACACTCTCAACTGTACTCAGACACTGGCTCAATGCAGGGCATTCTTCCCAAGAAGAATTGCAGCAGTCTTCTGTTCTGGCTGGTCAGATGCTGTTTATGCAGCCGGCATCCTCCTCCGCAGCTCTATGTATGCCGCTGCTGCCCTCCATCCCCGCAGTGCCCCCTGCGAGCTGCTGGACTCTCCCCTCCCCTCTCCTCTCCCTTCCTGCACACTGGGACTGCCCTCCTGGTCCCACTCTCCACCCTGTCTGCTTTCCTCTCTCAGAGCGTCTGAACCTTCACTTCGTCTTTGTTTCAGTCAGCCTCCTGCACAAAGGATCTCAGGTTTGTGTCATGAGCTAGTACCACATTTAACAGGGCATGGGGCCACTGCCTCCAACCTACTCAGCAGGGCTGAGCCCCAGCTCTCACACTCACACCTGCCCAGAATGTGTGCACACGAGTGATGTGTGTGCATAGCGTGTGCATGTGGTACTATGCATGGCGTATGCATATGTGTATGGTGTATAGAGTGAGTGTGTGTCTTATGCATACAAGTACGCATGTGCAGTGTGCACAGGTATTGGTGTGCATGTGTGTGTGCACATGTACTTGTGAACCTTTGGCTCAGTAGTAAAGTCAGAAGTTGAGCCATTGGCTCTTCCCTGCTTCTCACTGCTTCAATCTCAACTGCTCACTGGGCTGAATCATTTTACCCCACAGGCCTCCTGGCGGGGTGGCTCTAAGTGATAGGAAGAGGGAGGGCATGTCACCCCCACCACTATACCCAGCAATGGGCTGCAAAAACTGATTAATGACTGTTCTTAAATCCATTGGAGAGCTGAGCTTTCAGGGAACCAACTAATTTTGCTCCGAGTACTCTTCTGCCTTGTTTATCAGAGGCACTCCTATGCCTCCTTCAAAACCCTGCTCAAAACCCCCAAAAGGTAATCATTCTTTTCACAATATGGCTTTCTACAAATACTTTGGCTAACAAGTCCTCAGTGTGCCCCATTTGGCCCATTTCTATAGACTTCTTTGTCATGCAGACCTATTCCCAGCTCATTGCTACTTAGAGGAGATTCCAGCTGCCCACCTTGTCCCCACAAGTCTCAGTTTCCCTGCATGTGAAAGAGATAAACATGACTGCTACATGAAATGTCACTCAGGTTTGCACAGTGGACTGGGGACAGAACCCATCCTGGCACACAAACAGTGACCACAGCTGCTACCAGGTCTCTGCTAATAGGGTCATGGCTCCCCAAGTTGAGGCACAGTAGTCTCTGGGTGACCACTCTGTAGCAGGGGACAGCTCAGCACCTTCTCTGATTGGAGCAGGACCCAAGCAGTTGGCAGAGGCCATTAAGAGGAAGCCTGTCTCCTTAGAGCCAGATATCCAAGTGACAAGGACCAAAAGAGGATTCACCACATCGTGTTCCCCTGGATGTGGACCCTGGCACAGTGTCTTTGGATGAGGACCACCCAGCTTCCTGAAAGCTGCCTCAGCTGAGTGACCATGTGTTAGTGCTTCCTCTGCCCTGGGGTAGGGAGTGTCCACATCCATCCACAACTGGGCTGCCAGTGTGCTTCTGACCGCAAAAGTCAAACACTGAAACAAATTTCCTAAGAGCTCAAAATCTTTAAAGAACTCTTTCACACTTGGGTCAATGAGATTTCTGTGCACTGCTGCCAATCCCAGAATAGATGAAGACTGCCTCGGTCTGCACCCACTCGTTCCAGGCACCATCTGGACCTCAGCCCTCTGGGCTCAGTCCAGTGCTGGTCCATGCAATCTACTCACATCATCCCATAAATCAGGAGTGGGTTTGCCCTGTGCTGTCCTACAACCACAGGAAGCCTCCCTGGCCTGGGACCTGACGGCGTCACAGCTACTAGGTGGGCACTGGGGTTATGCTGGAGAAGGGAGTGGGCCACCCGATGCCTACCAGACGTGAGGAAAGAGACAGGGTTAGACCATATCAGGAGCATCTTTGCATGGGCCAGGCCTTCCCCACATCCTGTGTCCAAGAGGTTGGGAAGCCCAAACTCAGGGTAAGAAGGGGAGGCGAGGGCCTCTGGGCTCACCATGGCCCTATAGCTCATGAATCTCCCGGGTGTCCCCATCCAGGGACAGTCTTGTGACACCGAGTTACACAGGCCATGCCACACCCTTCCTCCTCGCCTCTCCTTCCCTTACCCCAGGCCTCCAGGACTGACCATGGGCAGGTGTGTCTTTTGTGGTGGACATAGACACTCCTAGTAGCTAGGGTTCCATCAGTGACTTTTTGATGTATTCTCTTCTTGCCCCAGGTGTCATTTTTTAAACTTGCTCTTTTGTGAATAATTATAGATTCGTAGGAAGTTGCAGGAAACACAGAGGGTGCGCCCATGTGCCCTTGTGCCGTTTCACCTGCGGCAACATTTGCATGACCATCCATCACACAGAGGAAACTGAGGTAGGAACAGGACTTGTTTATCAAGACTCCTCCAGTGTTAAACACACTGTGAGGGCGTGTGCATGCGCACGTGTGTGTATAGCTCTGTGCAACTTCATCACATGTGTAGAGACATGTAGCCATCACGTTGAGATACGCAACGGTTCTGCCACCGCAGGCCCATGTGCTGGTCCTTCATAGCCATCCCCTTTCTTAACCCTGGCAAGCACTAATCTGTTCTCCACTGTAAGACTTTGTTATTTCAAGAATGGTAAATAAATGGGCTCACACAGGATGAAAGCTTTTGAAGTTTTCCTTTTTATCACTCAGCATAATTCCTTTTTTTTCTTTTCTATAGGGCTTCACCCTTGCCACTGAGCTATATCCCTGGCCCATCACTCAGCATAATTCTTTAGCCCTCTACCAAGTTACCTGCCTGTATAAATAATTCATTCTTTTTAACCGGTGCACAGTTTTCCGTGATGTCAGTGCATTACCATTTGCTAAATTGTTCGTTGTTGGAGGGCTTTGGGTTGTTTCCAGCTTGAGTTTTTACCAGTAAAGTTGTTACGAGCATTCATGTCAAGTTTTTTGTTTGAACATAGATTTCATTTCTATGAGATAAATTCCCAAGAATGCAGTTGATGTGTCGCATATTAAGTCCACATCTAGTTCTTTAAAGAAACCACCAGACCATTTTCCAGAGTGACCATTGCTTTCTAATTCCCATTGGCAATATACAGTGATATGATTTCCTCACACCCTAGCTAGGGATTGGCAGTATCTTTTTTTTTTACTGTAGTGACTCTGATAAGTTTTTTACTGATGTTTCCTTATGGTTGTAATTTGAGTTAACCTAATTTGCATTTGCCTTAGCCTTTTCATGTGCTTGTTTGCCATCTGTACATCTTTTCAGGGAACTGTCATTCAGACCTCTTTTCCATTTTCTAATTGGATTCTCTGTGCTCTATGTGTGTGTGTGTGTGTGTGTGTGTGTGTGTGTGTTTACTACTGACTTTTGAGAATTCTATACACACTTGCTGGATGTGGGGCTGTTTGATCTCTCCGTTTCTTCCTAGTCTGCAGCTTGTCTTTTCAAACATCTTCACAGAGTCTTTTGCAGAATAAATTTTTAAAATTTTGATGAGCTCTAATTTATCACTTTGTCTTTTTATAGCATGTGTTTGTGGTTTCTATTCTAAAAGTTTGGCTTAGCCTTGAGTACCTGAGTGTCTCTCTGTTTTATTATAAATGTTTTGTAGTTTTACACTTAGCCTTTACATCCATATCCATTTTCTGTTTTGTGTTGTTGTTGTTGTTGAATTCACAGTTGATATCCAAGGTTCATTTCTCCCCTACAGCTGTCCAGTTGCTGTTTCTGTGTTTGTTTCTGAGTTCTGCAGTGTCCCTTTTCCAAAACCACAGTATTCAATTACTGTAACTATATCATAACCTCTAACATTGACCAATGCCTCTGCTTATTCCTCTTTTTAAAGATTATTTTATCTGTTCTAGTCTCTTCACCTTTCCACATAATCTGTAGACTGAATCATTAATGTCTGTGAAAATAAATTTGCTAGGAATTGTGCTAAACCTATGAATCTCATTGAGAGCCAGTGTCCTTATCACACTGACTCTTTCGATCCATGAACATGGTAAGCCTCCCCAGTTATTAGGCCTTCTTTGCCTTTCATCAACGTTTTGTAGTATCCACCCCACAATTATTGTATATATTTGGATAAAATGTAACCTAAGTATTCATTTCCTTTGAAGCAATTATACATGAAACAAATTCTATTTTCATGGGTTTTTTTTATTATTACCTATTTGCAGTACATAACGATTACATTCCTTGTGGGGAGTTGGTGCATGTACATAATGCAGCTTTACTTTTTTCACCCCTTTTCCTGCCTTCCCACCTTCCTCCACGATATATATAAATGTGGATGATTTTTATGTGTCAGCTTTATAAACTATGACTTTGCTGAATTCACTAACAAATTCCAAAAGTTGTTTTGTAGATCCCTTGGGATTTTTCTACTTAGACAATCATTTCACCTATAAATAAAGCCAGTTTTATGTCTTCTTTGTTCACCCATATACTTTTTCTTTGTCTTTTTGCCTTATTTCCCTAACTATAACTTCCAGTAATGCACTGAATATCAAGGTAAGGGAGATTTTCTCTTTCTTCCTAACCTCCAGTGGAAACATTCAGATCTTCACCATGAAGCACGATGTTAGCTGTAGATTCCACACAATAATTTGCACACCATATGAGTTTCTCATTGTTCTTCTAACAAATTGCCATAAACTTAGTGGCTTAAAATAATACGAATTTATACTTTTACAGTTCTGGAGATAAAATGGCTGCATCAAAAAGTTAGCAGGGCCTCACTCTTTCTGCAAACTGTAGGAGAGAATACACTTCATCATTTCTTTTCAGCTCCTGGAAACTTTACACGTTCTTTGACTCATGAATCTTTCCTCTCACCCTCTGCCCCCCTTGTTTCATCATCACTGCCCTCCCTTTCCTTCTCTTATAATGTCACTTGAGATTACACTGGGCCCCTGGATAATCCTGAATGTTCTCTCCATCTCAAGATGCTTAAGTTAGTCTCACTTGCATAGTTCCTTCTAGCACAACAGGTAACTTCATCACAGGGGTAGGTACTAGGGTGGAGATGCCTCCAGGGGGTCTCTCCTGCACTGAGCATACATAGGGCATCACAGATGTCTGTACATTTATCTGTCAACACTCCCGTGATGTTCCCAACTTCCCATCTGATACACAGACAGGCCCTGTAATAACTGCTGACCCACTGAGCATACAGCTGAGAACACATTTCCTGCTCATCAGCCCAAACAGAAAAATGATGACAACTTCTCTGAGGTACAGTGATGGATTTGTGAGAATCTGCTACAGAATATTTGAATTTGAGGCTTACAAAACCTGAGGGGTAGAACCCACAGATTTACCCATGCAGCAAAAACTCAACACCCTCCACATGCTCCTCCTGACTCACAACTGGACAGACTGACCAAGTAGGAGAGGACAGGAGCCTCGCCCTCTTCTTATGCCCCAGGTCCCCTGAGCTTCAGCAGTGCTCCACATGTTGCATGCATGTGTGGTCAGAAGCCAGCAGGTCATCCTCTATGCAAATAGCATCTGTCATTGCCCAACCTACTTGTCCCCGAGCACAGGCTGAGCAGGTGGCCCCACGTCATCCTCCTCATGGTGGCTTCTCACACCCATTTTTAAACACAGGCCACCAGGACAGCTTGGCAGAGTGGAAACAGTTGCATCAGCTCTTCTAGGATTAGTTCTCACAGTTGGCTGTGTTGTGTAATTGAGACACAGTCCTGGGCAGATCTGGTGGAGGGTGAGCTGAGGCCTTGTTTCCTGGGCGGATCTCTCACGGCAGTGAGCATGTGGTGGGTCCAGCCCCACGAGCAGGGAGGTGAAAGTGGGGGCGGTGGGATTGGGGGCTAAAACTGCAAGACCCACCCATGAGTCTGGGGACTTTTCCTAATGTGAGAACTTTGGCATAGTGAGAACATAGAGAACAGTTTGGTTTTTGTTTTTGTTTGCTTTTTCTTAAATGGAAAAACTACTGGTTTTCATTAAGAGCTTCATGGGTGTTGGCAGGACACTCTTCACTCTGTAGGTGCATCCCCATGTTGCTGATGCTCAGGTTCCCTGAGGGCTGCCCATTCTTGTCTGTAGTCCTCAGCCATTATGAAAAGCAAAGCACCCCCAGATGTTTCCCAACGTCCTCACACACACAAACACACTTTTCTGGCACACTGCTTTGGACATATCATAACGTCATTTTTTTGAAAGAGTCTTCGTCCAACAGGTACAGGGGCTGGGGAGGGGTACCCTGCACTGAGCCAGGCACTTGCTTTCCCTGCCTTCACAGAGCAGGCAGTGTGGTCGCAGCAGGTTCTGTACACACAGTAAGAAGCAGATTCCAGGACACTGTGGAGAAGAGGAAGGACACTGTGCTGTGCTTGGGTCTTAGACGGTGAGGCACCTCAGTGTGCAAGCACGGTGGGCTGCAGCAGGTGACGGGGAACTGCACGTCCCAGTGGCCTGAGGACAAGCAAAGGGAGCCAGGAGGAGGGGGTCAGGCAGGTGCCTAGAACTGCAAGGACATTTGTTGAGGTCATAGCTAAGTAAATGAGCTGGGGAGCAAACCAAGATAACACAGAGAGCGGAAGAAGAGAGCAAGTGGGGGCCTTGAGCTGGGGCCATGGGGCGGGCTCTGCTCAGACAGCCAGTGTCACAGCCCTGCATCTCACTGACCAGGGCTGTCACGTGGCTGAGTGAGATGCCAGCAAGGCAAGGTCTGCACTTCTTCTGTGGGATGTACAGGCTATGCCACAGACAATGGCAAAGCTGTAATTTCATCACAGGGAGGAAGTAAGCACTTGGGGACAGTTATCCGGTCCACAACACTGAGCTGCCTACATGTGCAAGGCGAGAAGTGGATTGTTGGGACAGGAATCTGCAGCAAAAGACAGGAAACCAGTCCCACCCCACGGTTTCTGATGCCATAGGTCTGGAGGAGGCCCAGGAATGTGCAGTTCTCACAAGTTCTAGGGGGCCTCAATGGGGCTGATACAGGGGCCACAGCTGAGGTCACAGAAAGGGGAGGGCACTCAGAGATGTGAACTTCAGTAGGGAATGAGACCCTGGGGGTCCAGGCATAGGCACTGAGTTCTGGAGCACCATAAAGGCAGTCAGGGCTCAGTCTAACACAGAGCTGTGTATTCTGCTCTGCTTCTTCTACACAGGATGATCAGAAAATCTCCTGTCAGTCCCAGCTGCCTGAAGAGGATAAGGCCACTTCAGGGCCTCAAGCAGGCCTAAGATAGGTCCCGGTGTCATGGGGCCTGAGGCATGTGAGGGCTCCACAGCTCATGAGGTATTGGGGTGCTGCTTGGAGTGCAGGGGTCAGCAGCTTGAGCCAGTTTAGCTGGACTCAAGCCATCAGCACCTTGATTCCTCCCATGAGTTGGAAATTGGCCCAGTGACATCCCAAGGCATCCATGAGAACACACACCCGCATCTGGTTTTCTCAGCTGCTCCTACGGCTCTGTGAGATATGCAGGCTAGGAAGGCCTCATGACGCTCCATGGCTGCTTTATGCACCACACCACAGACCCCGAGCACTGCTGTTGCTGCTCTCCAAGCAGCTGCAACCACCCAAGACAGACCCACATCCTCCTCCTGGTTCTCAAGGCACTGCTCCAGGGGTCAGGAGGCATCCAGCACATCACGAGGCAGGGACCAGGTCTCACCCATCCTGTGGCCCCATGTCAGCAGGGAGCTCAGGACTCAAAGGCAGCACTGCGCAGCTGCTGTGGACACCACATGATCCCACAGGCCCGCTCTGCCCTCTCTCCTCTGCCGGTCCTAGGGCTGCTGCTCAGGAAGCACAGACTATGGCACCTCAGCCACATCTCTCCTCCCAGGACAGGTAGCAGGAGATACCGGCAGGACCAGCTCAACTGGGCATTTGTCAGAGCTTGACACAGGTCAGATCTTCAGAAAGCTCCAGAACAGGCAGAGCCCACTGTTCATCACTTTGTGACCTGCCTGGTGTGGACATGAAGCAGTGACCCTGCTGACCAAAGATCAGCCTCCAGGTGCAGGAAGCCCATCCCTCTCACCTTGAGCCCTGTGAGATTCTGTGAGATTCTGCGTGTTCTTGATTCTTCCTGTAGCCTCACACTTTTTGCTGCACAGCTCAGGCAGCTCCAAGGTGATGGAGGACTGCCGTGTGTATGCCTGGCATCAGCTAGCTGTTGATTGAGAGGGCCCTTTGACTAAGAAGAAGCCATGGTGGGCTTCAAACCCAGCTTCTCTTGTGATAGTTGGCTGTTGGGGCCAGCAACCCAGTCCTCCTCCAGTTCCCTAAGATGTTAGGGACCTGGTCCTTTGGGCTTTTCTGTGTGTAACATGCAGCTACCTCAAGACCCAACACTTCTCTCCTAGTAGGCCCTCCATTATCGGGGAAGGGGAAAAGAAGGTCACCCAGGAGATAAGGCTCCATGTCCCAGCCAGTAGTGGAGGCAGAGGCCCATTAGTTGGGATAAGGGAACCACTGATCCTGGACGTGGCCTTCTCACCTGCCAGGCACATGCTTGGAGACCAGTGTCCTGCAGAAATTTGGGTCTGCTCCTGGCCCTGCACTGGCACAGGCTGGGCTGAGATGGTTCACATGGAGAGCAGGTAGTAATGGTGATGCCATGGCTCTCTGCTCTTCAAACAGCGGGTAAACAAGGGCATTTCCTTGACTGAGTCATGCAGGTAAACAAGCTTGCATTTACCTCCTGCATTTTCTTTTTTTTTTTGGTTTTTCTCCGGTACCAGGAACCGAACTCATGACCTTACACTTGCCAGGCAGGCGCTTTGCCGCTGAGCTAAATCCCCAGCCCACCTCCTGCATTTTCATCTGAGGCTTTTTATACCAGGAGTTGAAAGTATTTCTTCCCAGCCCATGCTTGGGCTGAAGGTGGAGGAAGAGCATTTCAAGGTACAAGGCACATTTGCTTCTTATGTTCTGATTGTCCCTACCCCTTCCACCATATTAAACTTCATCTTTTCATGGCCTCTGCTGGTGTCACCGAGGACTCACCTTAAACTCCCTTGTGCATGTCATGATCGTTTGTTCTCTGAGACGTTGGACTCCTCAACAGTGCAGAATACAGAATCTCTAAAGAAAGCCACCCTGCCTTGCCTCCTGCACCAGTCACATAGATCCCTGTTGTCCAGAGAACCACACCTAAAAGTAAAAGAAAACATCAACCAACACCACACTGGGCTGAGCAGGTCTCTTGTGTTCTGTCTTTTCTCCAACATGACGAACAAGAAGCAGGTGGATCCTGTGGAATGGAGCAGGTGGCACTGCCCTGCCTCACTTCCCCCACCCCCTGACATCACAGGAGATCCAGGCGCAGCTAGAGCTGCTGAGCACCTGGACAACTCCTAGCCACTGCCACACTGGAATCCCGTTCACCCAATTCTTTGAGTCTCCCTCCAGCACGACTGCAGCCAAGGGTGGGAGGGAGGGTTAGGAGGGAGACCTCATGCCCACCATCCAGCAGAAGGCCCTGAGGTGGCAGGTGGATGTGTTGCTGTCCCCCTTAGTAACTCCACAGTGCTCACAGCTATTGCAGAACCACCTGGCTTTTTTGGAGGTTCAGAGGCCTCTGTCACAGGTTTTTATCCTGGGTGGTATTGACACTCAACACCCAGCTGACGTACTCCATATGGAGCTTGCAACTTCCTCCATAACCACCAGCCTGCTTCTGCCCCAGCAGATATGGTTGGCCCTAGCTGTCACTGTGGCAATGACGTGAACCCACTCTTGCCTGGTTCACTGCCCCCAAGACCCTCCCCAAAACTTCTCACTAGTCTGAGGATGGAGGCACCTGTTTGTAAAGAGTGGATTGACAGGTATGGTGGCCAAGAGTCAGGAGCCTGTGAGATAAGGAAAGAACCCCAGCAGGTCCTCAGAAGGGGTAGGGAGGAGAAGTGAGAAAGGAGTCTGACAGCTTGGAAGCCCTCAGCTGTGTCTCCAACTTACTCTTGCCCTTATTTTTCTCCCTGGTAAGTTTCCTTTTCCTAGTGAAGCTATGTTGGTGGCATGCCCACCAGTGAATGCCTATGGCCAGCTGCACAGGCCCCCATGGGACATCAGCTGTGCTCTGTGGGGTGCAGTTGTAGGCACAGTTGAGCATAGACTGGAGACAGAGACCCATCTCTGCTTGCAAGTACCGGGTGCTCAATGGCTACCTCCCCAAGGAAGGAAGGATCTGGAAAGAATGAGTCAGGACCAGTGGAAATATGTGTGAGTCCTCCGAAAAAGACTAAACCTGACCCCCATAGAGCGCAAGGTTGTGGGATGTAATAAAGGAGACAATAGTGAATAAAATGATTTATGAAATTCAGCTATGCCCAGGTCCCTTGAAAGTGGCTTATCCATTGCTTGACCAGACTGAATTTGATGAAGGACCAGACTCTTCTGGAAAAGCACGTGGCTGATTTTTCACTGTCTTCTGGACCACATGAGTCAAGGTCAGAGACAAGAGATCATCCTCTCACCTTGCTACCCTTGTCCTTCTATGATGACAACCCCCTGCCCTCAACACAGCTGCCATAAGCACCCAGAGCAGACCACACCTCCCCACAAGCACAATCCCACTTTAACACCAGGCTTTCTAACAGCACCCTTTTCACTGCCTTGAGCCAGGGGTGCACCTTCTTGCAGAGGGTACCCAGTCCTTGATTAGCTTACCCATCCTGAGACCAACCCAGAACTTCAGGCCACAGTGATGAAAGCGGCTGACCCCAAGGCCAATACATGACACTGTCAGTCACCAGCCAGCACCAAGGCTATCCAGGCCAAGGCTGCTGCTGTGGGCTGGGGTACATTCCAGCACCAAAGTGTTGTGTTGCCTTGGGCAAACCACCTACTTAACCCTTCCTGCCTCAGTTTCCTTTCCTGAAGCACAGGAATAAGGGAAGCATCCGCCTGGCATGAGTCATTTGCCTGATAGTCAGTGTGAACATCTGTGTGTGTTCATGTTAACATCAACTCCAGTCACATACCCACACACCCCCTTGACTGTTTGAGATGGGCCCGAGCTCCCGGAACAGTGAGGTCCCAAAGAACTTCCTTGGACCCAATAAAAAGCAGTCAAAAAAAATGGCGAATAACTGACCAGCAGTGGTGACTGTAATGGCCTCTGATGTTTGCACTGCAATTTCTGGGCTCATGAGCACTGCCTGCCTGGTACCCAGCCACCCTCCCTCAGTATCACCCTCTCCAGCTTCCTCCCTGGAGAAGCCTGGTCCCCCCTCATCCTTCCATTACTGGTCACGGCCTGTCTGGTCTCAAGGGCACCTCCCCACCCTCAGAGGCCATTGGGGCACAGTGTCCTCAACAAATACTCGAATGAAGGGCTGCTCCCAGAGAGGAGGAAGCAGGGATTTGTTGTACACCAATCCCTTGGTAATCATCCTACCAAGCACTGGATGGGCCATGAAGAAGTGGGCATGAATCAGAGGACTTCTGGGACCCAGAGTCCAGAAAGGAACTGAAGGACCACCCAGAGACACCAGGCGTTTTGGGTTTTGTGAGGGAACAGCCTTTGTTTGGGGCCCAGCACAGATTCTCCATCAAGATATGGTTTGTAGGGGGCTGGGGATTTAGCTCAGCAGCAAAGCACCTGCCTGGCAAGAGCAAGGTCGTGAGTTCGGTTCCTGGTACTGGAGAAAAACCAAAAAAAAAAAAAGATATGGTTTGCAGGAGGTTGGATGGTGCAACCCATCCAGGTCCACTGCAGGGGCCAGGTGAGAGCAGGCTGGGTGGGACCAAGGTGACAGCCTCACGCACTTGTGTATCCTGGCAGTGGTTGTGCTAAGGGAGGGCACAGCCTGTCCTAAGCAGACACCAGCTCTGTCGTGTGGTGCCATCATACCATGCAATCCATGGTGCCAGGTCTGGACCTGTCCCTGAGGACAGTCCAGTGCTCTCCACCTCCTCTTTAGACCCCCTCAACATTCCATCCCTCCCTGACACATCTGACACAATCTTGCTTCTCTGAAGAAGAATGAAAGGCTTTCTGTCACCCCAAATTCTTGGGGGTGATGAACAAAAGAGGCAGAGACCTGGTGCTGGTCACTGCAGCTTTGGAGGATTCTCCCTGAGGGGAGGTGGAAAGAACATATAGCACTCTGTCCCTGGGAGTTCTAGCAAAACTGGCAAGGGCCATGGGAGAACTTCAAATGGAGGAGATGTCCGAGCCTGGGCCGCAAGGGTGACCCAGGGTGAGGAGGGTGGAGCAGGCAGTGACCATGGCAGGGCACAGCAGAGGCAGGTTCTGGTGGGATATGGTGAGCAGGGTGCAACCATCTGGATGCTATACTCCAGATATGCAATCATTCCTGCAGGAAGATGATCAGACAGACAGAAGCAAGATATAAAGACCAAGGGCCAGGCCACCACAGTGGTGGGGAGGCCTTAGTTTCAACTGTGCTTCCACTCTGCATGCTCACCTGGTGGTAAAGAAGATCCTGTTCCCATGCCCACTCTGTAGATGTGCAAGTGATGTATAGAGAGGATTTGTGACAGCCTGGTCACAAGGCCAGGGCAGGAGGCCCGGACTACCACACAGCCACGGTCCACTCAGGACCCAGACCTCTCCACTTCATGCGCTCCTGGCTCCCGCCCCAGACTCGGGATTTGGCAGGTCTGTGAGGGCCTGAAGAAAGGCATTGCTGACAAGCAGCCCCCAGGGACTCAAAGTGGAGGAACAGGTAACTGTGCTGTGAGGCAGGAGCGCACACACAGCCAGAGAAATACACACACACAAACACACACCCACATTCATGTACCTGCACATGCACAAACTCTCATCAACCACACAGACACACAAACCCACAAGCACACATCACACTCCCATACACAACATACAACACACACAGGGTGCACCTCTATTGTCTCCCAGTTGATTGTGGCCATCAGCTGGCACTGGGAGCTTCATTCAGTGTCCAAAATATCTGTGGGATTTTCCCGCCCAGGGATCTTGTTCCAGGTCTGTATGGGGTGGTGTGTACCCCCTCTGTTCAGGGCTGTGACTGTCCATTATTGTGAGGATCAGAGAGGTGCTGAGAGTACCAGCGTGGAGGGAAAGCCACAGATGGCGAGGTCTCTCTGGCTGGTTTAGGAGACGCAGGTCACTCTCCAGGAGCATTCCCAGAGAAGCACCACTCTGCTCCTCTATTTGGCAGGGTCTTCCATAGCTGGGCTGGGCTTTGAAGGAAGAGGAGCTCCCAGGGTCCATGTGCTGGGCTGCAGGGTGCTGGCTTGGCGGGATCCTGGACAGGATGACCTGGCCAGAGCCAGCCAGCCTGGGTGCCCCTGTCCCCTGCTCACCTCCAGCTCTGAGCCCTCCACTTACATTTAGCTTTGGGAGCTTGACAACCCCCAGCGGGGGGACAACAGCCAAAGGAAAAGGCCTCTGGGCAGGGAGGGCACTCTGGGGAACCCATCTCACAGGGGGCAGGGCTTCTACCTGAGCCTGGCAGAGAAATTCCGCCTCCCTAGCCTGGTGGTTAACCAAGAGGAAACAAGCAGTCCAGAGCGGGTGCCTTGATTTTCACCAAATGTGGGAGAAGAAAGTTTGAGCAGGCTGGTCTTCCCCACGCTCCCTGTAAGAGAAAATGTTTTTATTTTAAGCCCTCCCCTCCCAAATGATCTTCCTATTTCTTTAACACTACACTAATTATAGTAAAAATACACCCTTGTATCTTCGTCAGGCCTTTCATTTGTAGTGAGACAGAGTCGTTTGGTGCAAATACATCCACAAAGGGAAACCTCTGGCAAACAAAGGCTTCCTCCCACGCAGCACAATGTCCGGGCAGTGTCCCCTCCCACCTCCTTGTGCTCCCTCCCTCCCCTCCGTGGCTGCATTGAGCACTGAAGGAGGCCTGGGAAGGCGAGGCTATAACACTCAGTATCCACAGGCAACGGAGGACAAAGGACTGCACACTCCCAGGGCCCTGCCCTGGCGGGTCCCACAGCTGGGAGTCCACAGCCAGAGACTGCTGAGCTCCAACTAAATGTTTTTGGGCCTTCTAAGTGCTTCTCTGAGGCCTTTATTCTCCCTCTTTTATTTTCCATGATTAACAGTATATTACATATATATTTACAAATGAAAAAGTTATTTATCATGGTGCTGCACCTTTTGGTTGGGAAAATAGAACCACGTGTAACAACACGTATCACATAGCCTCTTTACCCCAGTGTAGATTTTTAAAAATAGTTTTCTTGAGGTATACTTTACATATCATACAATTCACCCAAATTCATTCTTTTTAAATAAATCTAAAAGATGTGCAACCATCACCATAAGTTAGATTTAGAACACTTATATCCCTCCAGTAAGTTACAGAGTTAATCCCTACCCTTCCCCATTCTCTACCCAGGGGGAAACCACAAATCTACTCTCTGTCTCTTGAGATTCACCTTTCCTGGATAGTTCATCACCTTTTCCAGATAGTTCATGGAAATGCAACTCTATAATATATAGTCTGACTTCTTAGCATAGTTTTTTGAGATTTTGTTTTAATGTCTGGAATATATTAGTACTTCATTCCTTTTAATTACCACATAATATTTCATTGTATGAACATAGCATGTTTGCTTATCCATTTCTTGTGATGGATAACACTGATAAGTTCATTTCCCTCTAGGAGACACCTAACAGTGGAGTTGCTAGACCATGTGGTAAGCTTATATTGAACTTGATCGATAGATAGGTAGGTAGATAGATAGATGATAGATAGACAGATGATAGATAGATAGATAGACAGACAGATAGATAGATAGATAGATAGATAGATAGATGGATTCAGTAAAGTGTCTGCTCAAACATTTTCCCTTTTTTCAGATTGGGCTCTTTTTAAAACCAAGATCTATTTGTATATTCTGAATACAAAGCTCTAGGTGACATGTGTTTGGCAAATATTCTTTCCCAGTCCATTGTCTATCTATTTATTTTCTTAATGGTGTCTTTTGAGATGCAAAAGATTTGGATATGTGCTGCCAAAGAAAGCCCAAAAGACTTGAACTGTTTTAAAGCAAACATGAGTGTATTTTAATAAATAGTTGTAGTAAAAAATACACAGCATAAAATGTACCATCTTAACTATTTTTAAGTTTACATTCCTCAGGTTGGGCAACCAGTCTCTAGAACTCCATTCCTCTTACAAAGCTAAAACTCCACATTCCTTAAACACCAGGTCCCTCTTTTCCCCTCCCTCCCATCCCAGAACCCCATTCTTGCTTTCTTGCTCAATGAATTTGCCGATTCCAAGTACCTTAAAAAGTAGAATCAGGGGCTGGGGATTTAGCTCAGCGGCAAAAGCGCCTGCTTGGCAAGCGCAAGGTCGTGAGTTCGGTTCCCGGTACCGGAGAAAAACCAAAACCAAAAAAAAAGTAGAATCATATCATACTTTTTTCTCTCATTACTGGCTTTTTTTGCTTAGCATAATGTCCTTAAAGTTCATCCATATTGTTCCACATTAAAAAATCCCTTCCTTTTTGTGGGCTATCTTCCATTATAGGTATACTGGAACATACCTGTGTGTTTGTTTACCCATACATCTACTGACTCCATTTGCTTCCACCTTTTGACTGTTATGAATAGTGCTACTGTAGAAGTTTGAAGTTTGATGAGGTCTAACATATTTTGTAAATCAGAATTTTGCTTTTGGTGTTATAGCCAAGAACTCTACCTAAACATACTTAGAAGATGTTCTCAAATGTTAACATCTAAAACTTCTATTGTTTTAGCACTTCTGTTTAAATCTATGATCATATTGTATTTATTTTTGTGCATGGTATGAAGTATAGATCCCAAATCCATCTTTTTTGCATATGAAAATTCAATTATCTCAGAATCATTTGTTAGAAAGACTCTCCTTTCCCATGAGTTACCCTGGAACTTGTGCAAAAACTCATTTGACCATGAAACTAAGGATGTATTCCTCACTTCTGTCCTATCCGTTAATAGGTTTATCCCTACACAGAAACATACTGCTTTGACCACTTTAGCTTTTTAGAAGGTTTGGCACTGGCTAAAGAAAACTCTTCAGTTTTTTCAAAATTATTTTGGTTGTCTTTAGTTCTTTTGCAACTTTATATGGATTTTAAATTCATTGTGTATGTTTGTGGAAAAAATAGCCTGCTAAACTTTTGATAAGGATTGAGTTGTATCTATAGATCGGTATGGGGAGAACTGACATCTTAATGTTAATTCTTACAATCCATGAATATGGAATGTTCCTCTTGTTTATTTAAACTGTCTTTAATTTCACTGTGCAGTATTTCATTATTCTCAGTGAACATGTATTATATTACTTTAGTTAAATTTATTAAGTGTTTTGTTTTCATACTATTGTACAAAAATTGCATTGTTGATTTTATCCTTAGATATTCCATTGCATGGATGTAGAAATATACTTGGAGTTTTGTATTTATCTTATATCCTGTTTCCTTTCTGTGTTTCTTCAATGTTTCTAAATGTTTTCTGTGTATTCAGGATTTTCTATGTAAAACTATATCAAAGTGAACCAATTTTATTTCTTCCTTTTATTCTGTTTATTTATTCTATTTCTTTCCTTCTTTTATACTATTTATTTATTTTCTTTCTTCCTTTCTATTCTTGTTCCTTTTTATTTCTTTTCCTTGATTGATTGCACTGGATAGAACCTGTAAGGCAATGTCAAAAAGAAGTGGAGACAGCAGGCATCCTTTCCTTCTTCCCAGCCTTAGGGGAAGCACAAAGTCATTCACCAGGTAGTGAAATGTTTGCTGCAGGTTTTATGTAGACACTTTTTTCAGGCTAGGGCAATTCCCTTTAGGGATTATTGCACTCCAGGCACTGTGGTCAGGCATGCTGCCATTTGTGCTCACTGCCAGGTAAGCCTTCTTTAAAGTTAAGATAACAGGGGTGCAGGTGAGTGAGTAACACACCCAGAGTCACAAACCAGCAAGTGGCAAAGTAGGATCTGAACTCAAGGCTGATCAACTCCAAATACCATCGTCAGCATCAGGACTCAGCCGACTCCTGTTCGTAGAGTAGAGACACCCTACGGTGAATTGCACTAGGCTCCAAGAGCCCCATGACAGGTAATAAAGGGCTCCAGGCCAGGTGTGTAACATTCAGCTCCAGGAAGAGCTTCAGCCTAGGGGACCTGAGATGGAGTCGTGTGCCCACTTACTGGATTGTTGCGGTCTTCTTCCTTTTCTGTGGCCTTGTGGTGAAAATACTCCGTTTCATGGAGCAGTGTCACAACACGGCCTTCCAGGAGACACCACTGCTCCCAGCCACAATTCACAAACTGGACAGGAGCAATGGTGACAGTACAGGAGCTGCAGAGGTGTGGTCCCTCAGGTCATAGCTGGTTACACTTCTTGCCTGCAGGAGGCTTCGGCTCTGGCCTGCACCTGCAGGTTGTTACCAGGGCTTACCACAAGCCCCAGGGGGCTCAGCCTGTTGCTAGACAGAGTCAATGAGTGATTTGTGTTTTGTCTTTAAAGAATGAAAATACCTTTACCAGTATATTTGTGTTCTGACTAATTGTGATATCTTCTAAAGTGACCAAAATAAAATTCCAACAGAGAGACCAGGGATGTTAGTTCTAGTCAAGTTCAGAAGTCAGGTACTCGCATTTGGGGAAATTATATTAGAGTGTACTTTGGTCAGTGGCATGGTGACTTCTGGCTCCTGATACCTTCCAGGATGCCATCCTGCCTCAGGGATCCCAATATGAACTGAAGGGGGAAGTTGAAATTCAGAAGAAGTTATAGTTTGGAGGCCTGAATCCACAGGGAAGTGGGGAGAAGTGGGAAATGTCTCATACAGGGCTCCAGTCCTTACAGAAGGAGGGATCTGGATAAAAGCCAGCAGAGTCCAACTATAGAGAACCAGAAATGCAGATGAGACAGCGGATGGTCCCAGGATGACCAAAGTATGGGGCAGAGATACAGCAGGAGGACCCAGTGGCTCTTCAGCTTCAGAGGTGGCCCAACCACTCCAGTCTGGGGCGAGTGAAACTGTGCATGGCTCTCAGGTATCCATGGGGCAAAGGCAGAAAACACCCAGGAAGAAGGCAGGTGGCCAGTAGCCCTGCCAGGGACCACTTTGGTCCCTCTGTGGCTTTCATGGTGGCCAGGGCTCCCAGGCAGACCCAGTTGTGGCCTTTCCCTCAAAAAGGCTCCTGGCCCTCCTCGGTGGCCCTGTTCCTGAGTTCCTGGCTCTTTTGGATAAACCTCTATACTGACCGCAGGGCACAGGTGTGACTTCCATGGAGGCTGAGGACACTTTGCCCTTGGCCCTGAGTCCCACAAAGGGATGGTGTTTGGCCAACAGGATTTGGGAGCCTCATTTTCCTGCAGCAACTGAAAGTGCTCGGTGAGCAAATGATCACTGCCCTGAACCACTTTCCCTACCTCATCCCCCCTTGTCACCCCAAGTACTCCCTGGCACCCCTGGCCTTTCACACCCATCAGCCAGGGTCACTGCTGGGTCTGGTAGGAGCCTGTGAACCTGCTCCTGCTTGCCACTCTCTGAATGTGTCTAGCTGGCTGGTGACCAGGAATCGCCATGGCTCAGCACTCGGTTCTCCCAAGGCCCAGGACACCAATGGTCTTGTCTCCCCCAGGGCAGAGAGCTGGGGGTGAGGGGGATTGTGGCAAGTGAGCATATATGACATGTGGGGTGGGCAGGGGCAGACGTGAGGTGGCAGAGCACTGGCTGTAGGGCTCTGGAGGTGATACTGGATGGTAGGAGCCAAGAAATATCTTTAGGATTACCGCGTGTGTGGAAGTCTCTTTCTTTGCCTTTTTCTTTCTTTCCCCACCACCACTGTGTGTGAGGCTTGCCTCAAGCAAGAAAAGGTCAATTTGTAACTCTCACACAGTCTGGGCAGCAGTCTGCAAGCAGACTCACTTTTGATTTGGAAGCCTAGGCTCCGGGAGCTGTGCTTTGAATATAAATGGCAAAGTCTGCACAAGAAGGTGCAGCTCAAACCGGAGGCTGAAAGGGAAGGACACCCTGTCCTTAGCTGACATAGGAATGGCAGGTAGCATGAGGTCTCTGAGGAGGAACACAGTGAGCCTGGGTGCCTGAGAAGCCTCCTTATGCTCCCTCAGGACCATCTCCTGGCCAGCTTGGACCCTTTTCTGGTCCTCACAGCATGCCATGGAAAGTGCAGCTTTGGAAAGAAGCTGTGATGCAAGCTCTTCACTGAGCAGTGAAGACAAAGGGGACCTGACAGGGACAGGGAGAGCTGGCCCCCACCCCCCTAAAGGGGGTGCACTGCCATACAGACCCCTGGATGAGCCCTGAGAGGCCTGGGCAGGCGCCAGCTCCCTGTGTCCTCTTCTGAGGTGAGTCCAAGGCCTTCTTCCCTTGCCTGTGTTGGGATTGGCCTAGATTTTTGCTCTGTGTTCTGCAGTAATGAAACCCGAAGTGCTGGACAACACCCAGTTCTCAAGTTACAGCCAGTTACGGCCTTGGGCCCATGTTCTCTGCTTAGTTTTCTTTCCCATGTTTTAAATAACTGGACCAAATGTAAGGGCAAACGATGACAAACCCTATCTAACAATTTGCTGTCCGTGAAAAATTGTTCCCACCCTCTTTATTTACCTTGAACCCAGAGCTTGATGCATGCTGCGTTTTTCTGGTGTCCTCACTGCCCCAAACTCACTTCCCTGCATGTCTTAAGAAGAGAAATATTGTTCCAAGTCCTTTTTTGATGGGAGAATCAGCATAGATTTCTTTTAGCTTTCTAGTTCAGAAATAACAGTGACAAGCATGGCTACCAGGTAGCTCCAGTAGGCAATCAATTTATGGCTATACTAGCTGGCTGCTGCTGTGTAACAAGTGACTAGCTTAAAACAATTACATATGTGTGTTCTCTCAGCTCTTATGGGTCAGAACTCAGGAGCCAGTTAGTGTGGGGTTCTGCCTTGAAACTAATCTGGCTGCCCTAATGTCTATGTGCAGACAGCTGTCCTTGACTGTGTTTGACTAAACAGGAAGTGGGAAATATTTTGGAACAATATCTTTGAACAGAATAAGAGGGTAACACTGATCATAGGATAATATCATTAGAAAACAGACACTGACCTTTGATTTGAATTATATGTCACCATTGTGCAGTCAACCATATTTGTCAGGTCTGGAAAGTCAAACAAGAAAAGCATTGAATTGCAGCCAACTACTTAGACATTGACTTTAAGTCTACTGTTTCTAATAAAAATGTATTGATCATCTTCTGCACACACGATGTTTTATCAGCTTTGTGGAAGAGAACATGCCCAACTTTTATCCCCAAGCAATCTAGGAACAGAGACCAAGATTTCCATGACTAAGTGTCCCAGAGAGAAGATGCAGTGCCTCAACCATCGCAGCATCTGGCTACAAGTGCAAGTTTATCAGCTTGGGGATTCCTGGAAGAATGCACCAGAAAGCAGGTTTAATCTAAGTTTTGACGGATGAGAAGAGCTGCTGATTACTGAAAAATTGGTATCTGCCACTCAGTGTACTTTCGATTAATTCTCCAAACCATTCACGTAAGGTCGGTGCACTTTCCCAGTTCTAAATTGAGAAAGTGTGGATTCTGGATCCTATTTACCTCAAGGTTAGCTACCAATTAATGATCTCTCATGTTCCATTCAAAACACTGTAGTGTTCATTAGATGTGCAATAAATAGATTTCAAATGTTAAAAGTTGACTTCCAGAATTCAAAACCTTAATTTAAGGTGAACGAAAGAAAACCACTCACATAAATGTCTGCTGACCTGGTTTAAAGCCTCAGGAGCGCCAAAGCTGGGGTCAGGTGACTGCAGCTCCTTCCTTTCCTCCAAGCCATGCACACGGAGCCAGTTTCCAGAAAGGCAGAGGCAGGAAGGAGGCTCCCTGTGAGCTGACAAGGGGCCAGGTGCGTCTTAAGGTGACACCACTCCCACCTTGCTATTTCTGCCTCATTCATCCTTCACTGCAGCTTCCTCTACTCTTTATTTATCTTATGATGATCCTTGTAGTTTTGTAAACTTCTCCACATATTTCCTGGAGCAGCATGTAGTAAAAGCAGAATGATGGCTCCTGTGATGCTTCCTGCTGAGGTTGCAGGTGTCTCCCTGAATCCTCGCTTTCCTATCTGTAAAAGCAGGAGCGGGTTCAGAGCAATGAAGAGGAGATGGCACGGCCCTGTTTTGTGCAGCCCGTACAACAGGACGGTGTGCTAGACAGCCAGTGAGCTCGAGCATTATACAGGGTGCCCAGACACAGGAAGAAAGAAATGGCCCTGGTTTCAGTTATGTATCACTCCTAAACAAACCACGCACAGCCCAGTGACCAGAGCAACAGCCATGCACTATTGCTACCAGTGGCCACAGCTTTTGTGGGTCTCCCTGACGCTTTGCTGTCACGAGCTCTGCTGGGGTGGCTGTCAGCCAAGGAGGTAGCTCTCTCTGCTCAGCACTTCCTGCCAGGTTTTGTCACAGCAGCTTCAGGATTCCAAGAGACGAGGACAAAGCTGCACACCTCTAAGGCCTTGGCTCCGAGACACACATGGATTTTGTTGGATTCTGTGGAGAAGCAAATCATACCACCAGGCCAGCTCAGCTCTGGCTGGAGGAGCAGGAAGCATGGGGGTGCCATGGGTCATGCCTGCCACCCATCCTGCAAGATGATGCCAGACAGTGGGCTAGAGCCGAGTGAAAAGAAATTGAAAACGGACTAGTCTGTGCCGATTCCTCCTCTGCACATTACCTCTAAGACTACTGGTAAATCACACTTGATCTTAGCCAAAAGGCCAAGAAGCGATGGTAAATCATATTTTAGAAAAGAAAAACCTGCTATTCCCCAAGCATAGTGGATGAAGCTCCACATTTCTGGCTGTGGGCTCTCTGTCAGGCAGAGAGCAGAGTACAGCCTCCTGGGATGGAGGGAAGCAGGGCTACCTGAGCCCCAGAACCCCCTGTGGACTCAGGGGAAAGGAAGATCCACCTGTGACCAGTTTAGCACAAAACCAGCATGCCCCCTTGAGGGAACCACATGTACACTGCATTAATACAGAAGGCTTTTTAAGAGATTCAATTAACCAACAGTAAAAAACCCACTCAGGTAGCAACTGTAGGACCCTCAAGGAAACCTGGACACAGAAGCAATCAAAGTTACAAGTATTTAATCAGCTGCCAGAAGATCAACTTCAAAATATGGTGGGCCACTCACATTTCTATAACAAATTCTCCTTTTCAACCTCCTAATGGGTCACTCAATATATATGAATATCACCACAAATGGCCCAAATCTAGGGTTATCCTCAGAAATTCTGGCAATTTCAGATTGATAAAAATAACAGGGGCTCCAAGAAAAACAGGATTCTATTGACAGCATCAAGATCTCAAACAAAGGACAAATATCCTGTGCAAGATGCATGCCATGTATAGTGGGAGATATGAAAAAGGCACACCAAAGGCGGTCTGTTTCTTTAAAGAACTAATTGGAAAGAAAAATTTATACTCATAAAAACAATGGAAATCAAAATGGTGAAATATTGCCCCAGCTGAAAGTCTTGTACAGGTACTGAATATATCATCAATATAATGAGCATCATCACATCATCAACACCATCATCACCACCACCACCATCACCGTCATCATCACTACCATCAACAACAGCAGCATCACAAACATGTTCAGTGCCACACCCACTACAGAATAAGCTTCCTGTGACCCGTGAACTGTTGAATCATTTGGACTTCCTAGAATGGCTGTTACTTTAACTGACGTTTTATAGAAATGGTAATAAACCTGAAGACCTTAACTAACTGGACAAGGCTCACCAGCTGGCCCAAGCTAGGTCTGGAACTGGAGCCAGCATTGGACTAACTCCAAATCTGTGCTCCTAACCACTGTGCTTTCCTATTCTACAGCAAGAAGAAGGGTCCAATACTCAGAGTTGACAAACATGAAAATAATGGTAGAAAGAATTCTCTCCCAAATATGTAAATACAGTGTATGTCTGTGTTGTTTTTTATTCTACCAATTGTTTAACATTTGGAAAACAGCTTGTTCACATCTAAGGTATTTATTTCTAAAAATAAACCATCATCTATTCTTCTGATTTTATAAGCAGCAAGCACCAAGTTGAAATTAAAGTCAATGTGAAATGATTCATAAATATTTGAAAAAGATTAAAACAATCAGTACTTAGAAGCCTGGAATTCAAGATATATTTGTCTGAGTTGCCCTCCTAATACCACCCTATATAAATCATACTTGTTTTCTTCTACCCTGAGTTTATCAGGAATTTGACCTGTAATTCATCCTGAACACATCAGGCTTTACCTTCACAAAAGTAATTAGGCACTACCCAGCCAGCAAAGATAAAGACTTAAAATGCATTATACATGGAGATTAGAATGCAGACACAGAAATCTCAATTAACCTTCTAATCTGTAGGTCAGAAGGAGGGGCTCTGAGTTAGTGGGAAAATATAGTGCCCATTTCCTATGGACCCCATCAAGTTGGTGATAGAATTCAGGTCACGGCAATTAGTTATAATAACAAGAGGAAAACAAAAGTTTGTGCAGTTTATTTCTGAAAAGAGTGGCAATCAACCAAAGCTAAGATGAAATGCTGAGCATAAGTTAGGGCAAGAGACAGCCTTTCTGACCAGTTGCAAAATAATCTGTGTTTCCTAGTAACTGCTTTGTGGATGAGAGGAGATCAGGGTGAGAGAATATGACACAAACAAGCCATGGAGCCAGCTCAAGCCCAGGCAACAGGCTTCACATGGGCTCAATGCATGTCCTGGTGTGGACCAGGGGGAACTAATCAGCCCTACTAGGCACAAGAGCACCAGATATAGTGTGGTCTCAACCTCTGATATCTGTGTCCTGGGCAATGAGGTCCTTGGGAGTTTCTGGAGGCAGCGTGGGGAGATTACCACTTAGTTGCCACCATCCACTCAAAGTTTTGGCATTCGTGGAACATGCCCTGGTCTTCTAACAGGTCTGCCATGCTAAGGGACCCTGCTGTGCGCAGCAACAACCTACATTTGCCTCAGTTGCTCTCATGGCCTCGGCCCAGGGGGAGGGGGTGGTCTTCTCTTCTCCTGAAACTGAGGCCTGAGCCCCACCCCCACAATTTATATCCTCCTGTGTGAGGCAGGCCTTCAGAAAGCAGAACTTAATTTCCTAGCATTCTTGTACCCTTGGGTGAACTGCATACAGAGGTACTGGTTCAGTAGTGTGCCTCCAAATTATATGTCACTCATTGTGACCTTATTTAAAAATGATGTGGCTAGAGATGAAATCAGTTACGGGGGGTCACACTGGAGGAAGGTGACTCTTACCCAGAATGATCATTGTTCTTAAAGAAGAAGAAAGACAGACAAAGCCAAGGAGATGCCAAATGGAGACAGAGGGATGGGAGTGTCTGAGCCATGGAGTGCCCAGGACCAGGCCAGGACCATAGCCCAGAAACAGATTCTCTTGCAGAGTTCTGGAAAGAACCAACCCAGTGACACCTGGATTTCAGACTTCTGGCCCCTAAATTGTCAGAGAGTATGTTTCTGTCATTTTAAACCACCTGGTTGATGTCACTTTGTAAGAGCGTCCCTGGGAAATAGTGACACAGCAACCACAACCTCCGTGAAAGGGTCATCCCACAAGAAGCAGACCCACAGCAGCCCAAGTGCAAGCCAAGGAGCCTGCATTCCACCAAACTCAGGCCAGGCACTGGAGTCAGGGGCTCCTGTTCCCACCAATAAAGTCTTTTCTCAGCACCCCACCAAACACTGTCTTCTCTGCTCCAACCTCTGCAGCCTGCCTTTGACCTTCTTCCACTTGCTGAGCAGTATTTTTCACCACATGAGCCCCTCCCTGCTTCCTTGACAATCTGCCTCAGGTGCTCTTGGTTGGTTGGTTGGTTGGTTAGTTTTCTTCTTTGTTCTGCAGAGCCTTAACACTGAGCAGCATCCTGGAGATCCCTGCAAGGTGTGGAGAGCACTCCTGGCCATGTAGGTGGTATGAGGCTGAACAAATGAAGGAGCAAATAAACAAGTGAATGAATGGGATAATGCTCCACCCACCACACGAGTTGTGTCAACACCATGTGCAGTTCAGAAGGGTTCCTCGTCAGCTCCTACTGTTGCTCTCCATCTGCCCACAGCTTCCTACCACCTGGGCACATCTACCCCAGGGAAACTGTAGGGGCTAAAGGGAAAGGCAGCGTGGCAAGAAGGAAAGAGCATGCAGAAGAAGGAAGCACACAGAGAGTCCTCCTGCCAGAGAGGGCCAGCACCCCTCGCCTCAACGTGGTGATCCTATTCTACCTCCATTCCTGAAGGCAACCACGCCACATTCCAAAGGGTGGGACTTCAAAGCCAACAGAGTCCGAAAGCAGTCACTTTCCCTGTGTTCCACTACCTCTTCTATCTTGGTTCGTGTTGTGTTGTAATAAACAACCTTAAGCTGGGTCTTTTATAAAGCAAAGAGCTTTATAAAATTGGGCTTGCAATTCTGGGGGCTGGCAAGTCAACACAGGATGGCACCAGTGTGAGAAATGGGAAGAACCCAGTCATATGTAGAAGGGCCAGGCACGTGGGTGGCCTCACCTTGTAGCAATCAGCTCTTGAGATAACTACATGCTCCACTCTTGCAGGACTCAACCCATTCTATGTGACTGCATCAATCTATTCAGGAGAGGGGAGCCCCCTGACCGCATTTACCCCAACCAGGCCCACTTCCTGAAGCCCCCACCGCACTGGGACCAAGCTTCCTTGGGGGAGTCGCATATAACCATGGCTTGTAACTTCATTTTGACAATGACCTCCACCCTGTCTTCCAGTGACTTAACTGATTCTTTTCTTGTCTTCTCAAGGTGACTATAAACTGGTAGGCTGTTTCTTTTCTTCTCTGCCTCCTACAATGCATCAAGGGCCCAATGTATCAAGGGACCAGGAAGCAGGGATGGAACAGTATGCAAGAAGACAACACACACTGAAGGCAGGAAGACACATCATCTCACCACACCATGCCACTGGTCATAGCATGGCAAGACATGAATTATTTCCTCCTCATGAAAGGATAAGGGCATAATTTAACAGAATATGCATCGTGATTTCTTTCTCCATCAAATTCCAAGACTGCCATTAAACACATGAGACTCAATACAGTTTTGCATGAATGCAAACATCTGCTCAAAGTCCTTGAGAGGAGTGTGAGTCAGTCAGAGATACCATGTGTGAAGTGTGCGGTATGTATTGGCCACACA